GTCTTCATTCCTCGTCCCTCGGATTCAGACACAACTTCAGTGAGTTACTAGAGTAATCAACATCGGTCTCATCCTCCTCGTACCTCGGGGATTCGGCCTCTTGTTGATTACTCGGTAATCATCTGGTAATCAGGACGGTAATCAGGCCAGTAATCAGGCCATGCAGAAAAAATAATTTAAAATGTGCGCATGGGTTCTTCTCCTAAGGGATTCGTGCTCGTACCTCGCTCTCACCCTAGGAGAAGAACCCATGCACACATTTTAAATTATTTTTTCTGCATGGCCTGATTACTGGCCTGATTACCGTCCTGATTACCAGATGATTACCCGCGCGCGACTAATTACTCGACGATTATTAGACATACCTATGGCAGGCAGGCTGCAGGGACAATAGTACGTACCTAGAGATAAATAATTGCATCAAGTACGAAGTAGTAACAGTAGTAACGCGTAACTACGATAACATCTATGGAGTTGTAGTCGAACGTACGAGTTTGAAGGGGTCTAAATTATGACCCCTGCGAGTTCGTACGTACGGTACGATACCGTACGTATGGTTAGATGCAGTGGGTACAAATTACAAATGTGACACATGGTCAATTTCGTGTTTTCAACAAAATAATTCCTGCAGGCACACCAGATCGGTAGGACAATCCCGATACTCGTAGGTACCGGTAGCAACGGTATTGGAAGCGCTGATCAAATTTTGCAGCTATCGAAGTTGTTCCCACTAGGTTTGTTGTGGATATCAGATTACTGGCATTTGTGAAACACTTGTGCTGCACCGAGTGAGACGAAAGATAAGGAAAGTCAGTCTCGCAGCAACTAACGTGACCATGGCACGAGAAGTATCGAGTGAAGAGGATGGAATCAAGAAAGAGAAATGGAAATTTAGCTCGATATTTTCGTCGTCATGTGGCGCCACGGTCTTCATGGCTCTTTATGTTTCAACTGCGATTTTCAATCTGTAAGTTTTCCCATGTAGATGGATGGAAAACCGTGGATAGGCTTGTTATATCTATTGTTGCCGCTACTTATCTCTCTCTCTCTCTCTGTCTGTCTCAACTCTGTTCGTTGTAAATTTAGTTACGGATTGATGTACCCTTTAACGAAAATCAACCTAAACGACTTTCAGCCCAACTCTTTTATTCATCCACTCTGGGATACGGAGGCGAAAATGGGCATAAAAGTTTACCTATCTATGAAACCCCTATTCTACCCAGAATTTGTAAAATCAGAATTTGAACCAACTGCTGAAGAAGAAGAAATCCCAAAGGAGACTATTCTGTTGTGGCAACAGCCGTTGGACAAAGCGTCGCTTTCTAAAACTTTTCTCATATCTAGCCTAGATTGTATTGGCGAGGAAAACGATGACGGCAGTGCTTGTGATAAAGAAGGCGGTGTTAATGTCGATCCATCCCTTAAATTTGCTCGAGAGTGGTTAGATACTCAAGACAGAGCGTCGATGGAAGACGACGGAAGTATCTTCTCAACAATACAATCTGCTGCTGGACAAGGAATTGAATCTACCTCGATACTTTTGACCATTGGACAAGGAATTTCGAACAAATTTAATTCTTTGTTTCAAACTTTGGGATTGGTTGAGGACAAAACGAATGATGATGACACCGCTAGTCGTAAAGGTGTTCTGGAACGAACAAATGTGCACCTACCGGTATCTTCTCCGATTTGGTCGCATCTCATGAACAATTCGCCATTATACGTGCACGTCTTGCTTGTTCGCGAGCAATTTTACTTGGATGGGCCTGATGTAACATTGAAAGAAGCTTCGAAGGCACTAGCACAAGCCAATACACTGCATTCTTTGTTGGTGGGCAAAGTTTCTCTGGTGAAATATGACACTCCCTCTCATCTCGGAAGGCCTGACAGAATTTTACTTTGGGATTTAGCTTTCTTGTTTCGAAAATATATTCTACAGGATCGAGAACTTGGGCGACCTCCATGGGAAATGGAGACTACCAAACCTGAATATTTCAAAGCATATCAGCAAATACAGCAAATGAAAATAGAGGGACGCAAATACCCATATTGGAAACCGGAAGTTGCTGTTAAGTATCTGATTGATGAAGATTCTTATCCATCGGACTACGCCGGCATTTCGGGCATGGTGAGTGTGTCTTGTCATTCGCAGCTTCTTTCGAGCATGGTCTCGACGCTTGATTGTGACTCCAGGTTCTGTTGTTTGCCAATTGTTCTGACACCACTTGTTGTGTTGAACGTTAATCTTCTGTGTAGGAATTTGTACGTGTGAAAAGGACCCAAGAGCACCCTACTGGGTATGCGCATATCCCAGCCCTGTACGTTGACGAAATCGGGCTTACTAGTGACAAATATATTCCTCTCAACCAAACCGTTACGAGTCTTCCACTGCGCATTTCATTCGATCGCAGTGATATGCAGGATGAAGAGCATCGTCAAGGTGCCACTGCGACCGCGGGAGGAATAAGTCCTGCAAGGTGGCGCCTTCTAAACCACTTGTCGAAGAGCTTGGAGAATCAACGAGAACTTGGATTCGAGCAATCCGATATTGACGATATGCGACGGCTGATTGCGGATACGAACGTTACCTTATTGGCTATCACTGTCCTGGCAAGTGCATTGCATATGCTCTTTGAATTTTTGACCTTCAAAAACGAAGTACACTTTTGGAACAATAACTCTGATTTGACGGGACTCTCTGTTAGATCGCTTTTTCTGGATTTGTTTGGTCAGATCATCATCATTCTTTATTTGATCGAACAAGAAACATCGTTTTTAATGACGATCACGGCGGCTTTTGGAGTACTGGTTGCTTTTTGGAAATGCCACCGAGCCGCTGGGTTTGCTTTCGTGCCTCTTTCGGAGGAAGAAAAGGGACAAAAATCCTCCATTATAAATTTCCTGCCACGACTGTTTGGTTACCAATTCAAAGCCCAGAGACTCTCGTCCAAGGCTGGCAGCAAAGACGAGAAAGGAAGCGGCAGCAAAGGGAAAACAAAATCGAGTGCTTCCGATCTCGAGACTCTGACTCTCGAAGCCGATCGCCAAGCCACGGTGTGGCTGGGTTCTGCCTTGCTTCCTATGGTTTTTGGATACACAATTTACTCTCTCGTTCAGCAAGAACACGCTTCGTGGTATTCGTGGTTCATAACATCTGCTAGCAGTGGAGTTTATGCATTTGGATTTGTCCTGATGACTCCACAGCTCTTTCTCAACTACAAGATGAAGAGTGTTGCCCATTTGCCTTGGCGTGTGCTTGTCTACAAAAGTCTGAATACTTTTATCGATGATCTCTTCGCATTTATCATCCGAATGCCTACAATGGCTCGCATGAGTTGCTTTAGAGACGACATTGTGTTTTTCATATACCTTTATCAACGGTGGCTCTACCCAGTTGATGCTTCTCGACCAGTGGAAGGTGGAGGAGAAGGGGAATCTGCGGCCGAAACTAATGTTTCTGATGCCAAAAAGAATCAGTAGGGAATGAATGGAGAATCCAAATTGAAAAGAATTCGAACGTTATCGAGAAATATATAGTACTTAACTAGATAATTACGATCTTGTCGTGGTCAAGGAAACGGTGCACTTTTGTGTTTGTTCTAACATCAGGTACAGCAAGTTAGCCCTGTGTTCATAAAAACCTTCTTGCTCACAACGAATTCCTAGATATTGAGAAAACATGGTGTTGGACAGAGTATTGTACTCCCTATCGAAGTTGTCCTGAATCTGCAATCGTAACTGTTGACACAATCAGAATAATGGAATCATGCACGGTCGTGCATGCACAGCAATGCGTCAGATGAAGTACGGTTTGCTCGTCCATGCATAGCAATGCGTCAGATAGAGTACGGTTTCACACGCATTCAGCCGGGATACTTCTGCCCATAGGCAATCCCGAAGAATGACAGAACTCACCTTTCACGCGGGTAGCACCCGAGTCGCTTCCGACTTGTTCGATTGCAGAAAGAACGTTTTGGCCAGAGATTACCTATGTTAAGAAACGAAGAGGGGAAAGCGCAGTTCGTGCTTAGAAAGTTTCGGATTCTACCGTGTCGCCTCGCCGCTACTTCTTCCTGACTAACCTTCCCGAACACAACGTGCTTTCCATCTAGTGTACAAGGAAACGAAAATATTGGTTTGAGGAATCGATTGGATGTCTTTGCTCTTTGTTTCTAGGACAACCAGAGTCATGCAACGGACTTACCGAGCCAAGGTGTGTCGGCTGTACACAAAAAGACTGTGGTGTGTTTGGGTCACAGGGGCCAAGATTAGATTTGAAAAAACAAACAGACAAAGAGATGGTCAGTGGCGCGGTTGTCTGCGATCAACAGGGATATTGCATTCGATCCCTGAATGTTTTTTGGACCCAAATACCGTCTGCTGTGTACACTGCAAGCACAGAACCCACTCACATTGAGACCCGTTCGTGTTCGGACCAGCATTGGCCCTGTGCGTCCCGGAGAAAAGCAAACAAAAAACAAGAGCCATGAATACCGGGCGATCGAAGAGAGAGAGAATCCGGGAACGGACGTCCCTCTTCAACAAATAGTTCCCAAAAAAAAAAGAAACGGCACGGCCTCGCATCGCATCGCACTTTCCAACTTACATGGAGAGTGTTCCTGGTCTGTCCTCCAAAAAAGTGGTAGGCAGCATGCATGGTTTGAAGTGTAAGTCGGCGGGCGCAAAAACAGACCTGGTGGTTCGAGGGAAACGTGCCCCATGGTGCATCGCGCCACCACCGCAAGTGTTGGACTTACCCCTGGTGCTTCAATTTGACTTTGCGTGGAATGGTTTCGATGCATACCAGGAACAAACAAGAAGAAAGAACAACCCATGGTGAGCGAAACAGGTTCGTTCGTCCATGGCCCACACACACTCAACCCGGCAAATCACATGTGTGTTGGGCCATCCACAGAACAAACAATGGTTGCAACTCACAGTTTTCGTCGGCAAATTTTTCGCCATAGATCTACAACGGGGTATACAGTACGCAGTAGCGATTGAGGGGTCGGTGGATTTGCAAAAGAAAGAAAAGGAAGGAACTTGAGGTTGGACTCGAGGCGTGGGGTTTCTCGTCCCGTCCGTTGTTGTATACTACAGCCGTTCTACTTGCAAGACCGCCAGTAACTTACGCTTTCTCCACCGGTCCCATCGCCTCTGCGCGACAAGAGCAAAACAAGAAACGGATGCGTGAGACGAAGGGTCTTAGTCGGACTCCAAAGCCAGCTGACAGCCTTTGGATTGCACCCGCACGCTTCTGTTTGCAGCACTCTACCTCGTGAAATCGCCGCCCTGGCACATAAAAGAGGTAATCACTGTGGCACGAATGCGAATGCGAATGCGAATACCAATGCCAATGAAAACACAGGGAAAGATCCAAACCAAAACCAAAACACAAAAAAAGGTGGAAAGCATCGGTATCCCGCGTGGTGAGTGGACTTTTTGCGATCCTCGAACGCCGTTGACATCGAAACAACCAAGCGAGTAGTGTGCGTTACAAACCTCGGTGAAACGTCGATCCTTTGTAGTGCAAGAGCTTTCCCGAACGCCCAACTCCCTTTTCCCCGGTGCACCTGTGTTTTTTTTTTCGGGGGGGGGGAGGGGGGGGGGATCGACAGCAGTGACAACACCAACATGAAGAAAAATCGCAAGGACGATTCGTTCGCAAGTGAGATGGCCGAATGCAAAGACAGCAAGAACCAGCAAGAAAAACAGGGCGCATCCTTTCTTCGAGGTACAGAGAGACAGGCAACGACCCGGGGCTGCAAACCAAACCAAACAAAGCAAAGAACGGAAGCACCTACAAGCAGCGAAAATTCTCGGCCGTCCTCGGCACAACATCGGCCCTCAGCTCGATCTCGATCCTGCCCCGGGGGCTGCCGCCGATCGAAATATCGAAGAAGACAACCGGATTGTTGGTGGCATCGCTCATCGTGTTGTGATTTGTTGTGTTTTGTTTTGTTGCAATGCTTGCGGGTGGGTTGTGTTGTGGCGATCGATGGTCGTCGCGGGAGATTCGATTCGATTCGATTCGATGTCGTTGCAAATAGTGCAATGGTTGATTGACAACAGTGGTTGTTGTTCTTGTTCTTGTTGTTGTTTTGGTCGGTTGTCAAAAATCAAAAATCACAAGAGATGGAGAGAAAGATCCTGGGTCGAAGAGACGGGTTAGTCGAGTGAGTCCAAATCGAAATTGGTGAATGATCGTGACTCAGTCTGTTAACGCTAACTCAGGGTTAAGGTTCAGTCGTACCGTAGGGTATGTACGCGTACGGGATCAGAGTCATTTATTTGTACACTGAGTTGTGTACGGTACATACCGTACGCAAAAGTGCTACTTCTAAAATTGCGCGACACCAATTAAAAATAAGCAAGGATAGGTCGAAAAGATGTGGCCGCAGAGAAAAAAGCTTCATCACATCTCGGTTAGTGATAGATGCACGTCCCTTCCGCAGCGCTGTAGACGTTGGAACGAAGTTTTGTCGGTTTGTCGTTGTCGATCCACTCGGTGCAATCCACTCCAGCACTCTCCGCGTCCCAGACAGACGAGACACAAAACGAATTCTGCGTACCCGGGGCATCGCATCGAATCGAAGCAAAGCAAAACAAAACAGCCATCGGCATCGCCTTTCAAACAAACAAACAAACATACACACCGCCTTCCACCAACCATGGCCCGCCGGACCCAAGCGAACCGGGGCGGAAACGACGGCGAACAGAGCGCGGCCGACCCCGATCGGGGCAACGGCCTGGCCGCCCACGTACGGGAACGACACCGGGCCGTTGCGGAACGAGAGGCGGAGCGTCTGGCCCGGCCGGAACGGCCGAGCCGCCGCGTCCTGGCGCACGCCAACCGCAAGCTGTCCGCCGTCAGCAGCACCCCCTCCGGCGTCTTTGGGAGCCTGAGCAGGCCCCGGCCGAGCGACGAAGACAACGAAGAAGACGAAGAACAGTGGTGCGGCCCCTTTTCCGTCGCCCGGCAAATGATTGCGAGGCGGGAGGCCGCCAAGCGAAAGCGGGAGGAGGAACTCGACGGCCAAGCGGAAGACCAAGCCCGCCACCCGCTCGATGCCCTCATGGCAGAGGCGGAGGACAAGCAGAGGCGGAGGATGCACCCGTCGATGCAGTGGAAGACCAAGCTTCTCCCCGACGCGGGGGCGGCCACCACGTCGGAATACGAAAAGCGCAAGCGGCGGGTAGAGCTGTCCCGGTCCGGGAGGAGCCGCGTCCCTTCTTTGTTCGAGATCGCGGTGGGTTTTATCGCCGACCACTTCGAGCACGTCGAGTCGCTGGGGGTCGTCGAGAACGAGATCCGGGTCGCCCTTTCCAGGGAGCTGGTGGGGAGGGGAAGGCTCGACGCCCGGGCCTTCGAGGCCCTCGTCGAGCCCGTTACGATGGAGACCCTCGAGGTGGTGGACTGCGCCGGGATCCCGCAGGAGTCCATGGCCTCGGCACTGGCGAGCATCGGGGGACTGCGCTACCTGCTGCTCACGCACGCCGGGAGGTGCTTCGGGAAGAAGGCCGTCGAGGCCCTGCTGGAAAAGAACAAGGGTGCCGAGCTCTGCTGCCTCTCCCTGGCCGGTGCCTATCTCCTGCGAGACGACGACGCGGCGAGGCTGCTAAGGGCCCACGCAGGCACCCTGCAATCGATCGCCTTTCGGTCGTGCCCGCTGCTCGGGGGAGGCGTCCTGGGGGCGATCCGCACCGCCCCGGGCCTCGGCGAGAACCTGCGGGAGCTCTCCCTGCGGGACCTGTCCCTTTCGGGAGACCAGCTAAGTGCGCTGGCGGAGCGGGGGGGATGCCTGCAGAACCTCGAGAACCTGGTGCTCTGGTCCGTTTCCGGCCTGACCGACGGGGTGCTTTCGGGGATCCTGGAGGCGGCGAAGGGGTCCCTCCGGAGCCTGGACATTGGCTACAACCACGAACTCGGGGACGCCACCCTGTCGGCCATCCGCAGGCACAACAGCCCCAACCTGAGGACCCTGGTGCTGGACGGAATCAAGGGAGTGACGGGGGCCGGGCTGGAGGCCCTCTTTACCCACCCGCTAGAGGGACTCCCGGCTCCTCCCAGGCTAAGGGTGCTGGGGCTCTCGTCGATCGACCACGAGGCCGTGACCGACGAACTCCTGAGGCTCGCCACCGCTGGCTATTCTTCGGCCCCTTGGAACCGGGGCGAACAAGACGACGACGACGACAAAGGGCCGTGCCTTCCCCCGGGATGCGGCACCTACCGCGGCGAAAGCTTCGCGAGACGAACCGGGGCCGGCCTCGTCAGGCTCGACGTCCAGGGAAGCACGCTGGTCACGGACGAACTCCTGGAGCACGTCGTGGAAACCTCCGCGAACACGCTGGAGGCCATCAACGTCAGCTACTGCCCCCTCGTCGGGGACAGGGGCCTGGGATACCTGGTCTCCAGGGCGGGCAGCCAGCTGAAACGGATCGAGGTCTGGGGCTGCGCCCAGCTGACGGACGAGTTCTTCGACGGGCACGACCGCGTCCGGGACGGGACGCTCGAAATCATCGGGGCCTGGATGAAAAAGAGCGGCACGAGAAGCCTGCGGTGAAGACGAAACGACGGAGAATGGGAGGGTTCCCGGCCGGGGAGACCCCGGTTCCGAGTCCAAGCAGGAAGGGCACCGGGCCGCGGGTGCTGTTGCAAAGACGGACATCCATCCTCCGGTCCGATGAAAAGGTTTGCACCGCATCGGCGAAGCACGTGCTGCTTCCAACCAACCTAGCTAGCATCCGATACTACAGTGATTTCGATTTCGGCATTGAAAACAATATTGTTGATGGCCGGGGAATCGAATCGATTGGATTAGCTGAATAGATACACAAGGATTTCTGTACTCTATATTTTTACAACTCTTCGTCATCGCTTTGCTCCGTGTCATTCTGAGCACCTGTTTCGGTATTCTCGCTGTCTTCCTCTTCGTCGATGAACGGCACCAGAGTCCACTTCAATACAGCACCTTCGTTGGAGCACCGCGTCGTCATGAGTTGCTGACCCAACCAGTAGAGCAGAGAAGGATAGTCGCCATCGCCCTCCACAGCGCCATCGCCCTCTTCGAGTGCTTCCAGATCTTCGTCGAGTTCCTCGTAACTCGAGAAAAATTCTTCTCTTTCCCCAAACCAATCGTCTTCGTCTTTTTCACCTCGTCTTGCAACACCCAGACACATGTAAGGCTCTTGTTCTCTCCCGGTGGCATTTATCCTGTTTTGTGTATATAGTGGAATTACGGTGTGGATGGTACCCGAAGGAACATTCTCCCCGTTGCCAAAGGAAAGATATTGATTCCAGCGTTTTGTACATGGATAAACATGAAGGGGTCCGCCTGGCTGGTTATCCAACGACTCACCATCCAGGCATCTTCCAGCCCGGAGACCATCCATCATAGTAAGAGTACACTTTGGGCCAGTTGGCATGAACGATCCAGGTGTGACCTCGACTATACCAGAATCACTTTTTAAAAAACAACTGTTAGATATTCATACCTCAAAAACAAGAACACACGAATTATGGTGTCACGAATGCTCAAAACACTGTCATCATGTCATACTCACAGGCGTTGCAGGCTCCCATTGGAACTACAGGGTCCGATAGACCATCTCGTGTGACTCTGCACTTCATCTAAAATCACAGCACCGGTCTCCCAATTATTGGCCAATGTCGGGACTACTTCCTCGTGGAAACAGGGTACCAGACGCACCTTATTGAAGTTTTCTCCCAGACCTAGACATAGAGGCATGGAGGAATTTATTGTCTCCGTTGCAACAATCAGTGTCCCGTGACCTTCTAGCCTCATGTTTTCTTCTGTTTTTTCCCTGCCGCCATAAATTGTTGAATCATCGGTACCGGTGACGTTTGGCGAAACGAGCTTAGCTTCCTCGATTTTTCTTGACGCATCGATGGCGTCCTTCACCTTAGCGTCGTACGAATCGTCAAATTTGCGAGCAAACAAGTCGCCAGAGAGCTCTAGCACATCTAAATAATCCAAACCAAGGGTGGTGGGTGATCTCCCGCAGTGATTTGGATCGGGCATCATGCACTTTCGCTGGTCCCTCTTCGAAAGATCTTGCTCGTTTTCCCATTGATCAAACATCAGATGCAGAAAGTTCCAATTGTGATGCTAAGGAAGCACAAGATGGGGTGACCGGCGAAGCAAGTTTTGGGTTCAGAAAACTTTTCGAAAATCAAAATCGCAATGTATTCAAGCGTGTTCACGTGGAAGTTTTCAAAGAATATATATGAGTGTAATCTGACGTACCTTGTTGCAAAAATGAGTGTTTCGCAGGACAGTACCAAAAAAATTTTCATCTGCCACAACAGCATGTTCGATATAATCCAAATACTGCCGCAGGAAAATCGCCTCTTCTTTTTGTGGATTGGCCAAGTAGTGAGCAAATTCTTTGCTGATGATGAACCACTGGCTGGAGGTATAGAAGTCAGCGTTATTCTGTTCCTTTGTGATAATTGGCAATCTATGAATGCGATGAAGCTGATCATCGCATTCGACAAAGTAATTCCAAATCGATTCTGAGGGCCTTGCTGGTTTGAGAATTATGTGCATCAAATTGGCATCAACTGGATATTCCGCAAGTGTGTTCCGAATGCGCCTGTTGCTAACAATGGGATAAGATGTGCTTGCCATGTGGATGAAATGTGTAAATGGCACGTCGTTTTGATCAATATAATTCAATATCTGAAGTGTTGCATTAACCATACTATAGAAGTCCCGAGCAATGGCACAGAAGGAAAGCAGTTCATTAAAAAAAAGCACTTGAGTTCGAAGGAAACGTCCGCCTGCTAATTTACCAGAGAACGGTCAATTCCAACAAACATTGTCACAATTCGTTCTTTTATGGCCTACATCTACAAATTGAGTGGATCGCCCAGAATGCAAGGTCTCTTACCTGAAGCCTCCCCAATTGACACGGACGCGATGGGGATGATCTAATACGATGACTCGGTCTCGATGGCTAGCATATTCCTTCAGCTTCAGATAATTTTCTTCGTATTTTCCATCAATATGAACCACAAATGTTGTAGTTGGTTCATCGACTGCTTCGATAATTCGAATGGTAGACTCAGCACTATCGTGCGCAAGGATCCCGTAACACAAGACGACTTCTTCGGCGGAAATGTATAGGGAGTCCTCATCCGTTTCATTGCGGGGAGGTTGGTAGGTGCGATTTTGCACAATACCCATGTGAACTCCTTTGGGTAGATTGTTGAAATCCCATGGGTGCTCGTCTTCACAAGACGAGTCGAATTTTGTACTGGCAAACGGAAGCGGTGTCTCGGTGGCAATGGCTTTGAGGAAGTAACCGTAGTGTTCCGCTATCAACTCCCGACACTCAGGAGTTTTGGTCTTTTCGAATAGCTTCGAAAAACGACCAGTCTGTTTCATATCTCTAGCCATGGCATCCACAGCCAGTGATGCTACTGATTCTGCATCACCGGAAAAGTCGACCCCGCTGAAGTCCATCGTCGTTTGCTGTATGTGTTTCTGATGTTCTGTCAAGGCTGATTCCGATGGTGGTTCCGATAGCGATTCCTGGGCACTACAACACGACAGTGCCAACATGATTGGCACAGCCATCAGTCTTGAAAACAAAAGTATGTGTTTCATTATGGATGCAAACATTCGGATGCCAAAAGAGAAAAGCATTCACTTCCCGCACGTGGAAGAGAGGAGAGCAGGCAGTAGCAGTTTTGCGATGAACGGTCTAGTCTTGTTTCCTCTTGATATTGAATTTCTGATGCACCGCTGGAGTCAACAATTATTGTATACGAAGAAAGACAATGTTGCATTCGAATGTTTGATCACGGCTTCTCAAGTCGATCGTCGGTTTTGACGAGGGACTGGCGTACAACTTGGTCGATGGTCTGTTGTCGATGGTTGATAGCATTTCTGAGGGGAAACTAGTAGGAGCTGAGTTCCCCGTTTGAATTCACGAAAAGTTGTGCTTTCTTGCAAAAAAAGACATGAAAATTACTCTCAAAAATTCAAAATTGATGATGCTGCATCGTGACTCCCTCACAAATTCGCATGGCAATATTATTTTGCATAACAAAAAATAACCGTTTAATAACCATTCGTTTCAATAGATTGGTTGCGGCCGCCGCCGTTTTTTAAAAGGATGGCGGCGGCCAAAAAAATTACTACGGTGCAAAAACTAGGTTCTTGCTAGAATGACTTGTTGTCACAATAATGACTGAATGTTTAAGTTAAAAATGAATAATTTATTTTTGGTCAAGGTACTACTTTATTTGCATGCAACGAGTACTGTAGGAACAGTACGGAGGATCACTCGTGGATCCAATCATGAGTCCCCGGGACCCAAAACTATATATATATAGTATCGAAAACTACATAGTACTACCAGTACTATTAGTACTACACGAGAGTACGAGTATCAGACAGTATACTATATATATATATACTACACGAATCGAAGTACTACTATA